GATGACGAATCCACGGTCAACGGGATGAAAGATATACTTGCTCTGACTCAAACTCATTGATCGTCAGGCGCGCTTTAGAGGGGTATAATGTCTGTGTATTTGCATATGGCCAGACTGGTTCTGGTAAAACATATACTATGGAAGGTTTACCGGGTATTGAAATGGAAGGCATGATACCTAGAACGGTATACATTGAACAGTATATATATATATGTTGGAGATGAAAGGACGCCGGAGCCGTCCCTCTGGAACTTCGGCAAAATCCGTAGAATTGCCGGAAAAACGCAGCTTTTATAGCGGGTCCTCGGGCTAACTGGACTTGTGCTATGTACGTGCCTCAACATCAGGTATTCGTTGTCCTCAGGAACCGTTGGAATGTTTTACTGTCGAGTACCTCTATTGGTATTTCTTTTAATGAGGGTCATACTATAACTCCACACCTTTGTTAGGCGAAGCGCCCGTCCCGTTGACCGCGGCTACGTTCGGCGACTGATGGTCGCCTTGAGTCCAAGTTTATTATCACAAATCGCAAACAAGTACAATTGGGCAGGATGACGGCAAATTGTTTAATTACGACTGTAAACTTTAATTACGATTTTACGGATTTTCCCGAAGTTCCGGAGGGACGGCTCCGGTGTCCTTTCATCTCCAATATAATCTCCATTGAACAACAACGATGGCTTGTCCTAATGAACAACGTTCATTAAGTCTAACGACAACCCGACATATATATTACCACATTACGTATATTTTCATTTTCTGTTACGTTGCGTGAAACGGAAAGGAACCTTTAATCCTGCAAGTATTTTCGGTTTATAGTTGGTACTTAAACCAGTTCTTAGGTCTATTGCACGTTCTTACAAATTACGGAGAAAGCTAACGGTGGATACCTAACGGAAAAGGCGAATATTTGTCTCACGGAAAAGCCGGCTTTTCCCATGAACAAGGTCACGAGCCACGTCGGTAGGAGGCTTCCTCCTCCAATCTTCATTTATTAACATTGGCTGTAATCAATGCACATCGCAGATCGTTACCTTCACTGTTCTAACGAAAAGTGTGAACAACGAATCCAGGTTCTTAGTTCAAAAGATACACCCACTCCGAGCTTTCCTCCGTAATCACATAAGGACGAGCTTCACTTGTTCTCGGTACCCTGCTGGGGGTAGCCACCCACATATTATATTAGTATACCGCTATAATATTTTACCCAATGTCCTACTGGACAAATTGTAAAATTTAAGTAAATAAATAATAAAAAAAAAAACTTGTTCTCATCACGACAGAGCAGTCACTTCTCCCTCTCCTACGATTCGTGGCGTCGATTAGTCAAATCATAATGGGAATTTACGACTCCCGTTGGCGCGCTTCTTCGAGATCGTGTCTCCCCGCGAACGTCCAGAAGTTCATTTTCATTTCATTTTATTTCACATTATAGTTATTTATAACTGTCTATATACATTATATGTACATAATGTATATATAATAATAATAAATAAATAAATAGTATATGTATATATATTACTCATTTCCAGAAATTCCATTTTCTTTCAAATTTCATTTATATAATTTCATATTACGTAATTTCCTGCAAGTAATATCCTATTATATGTATAGTTGTTGATATGAGGCTGAAAGTTGGTTCGCATGAATGATATGTATCTTTAACTCATACGTATAGCAGAACTCGTAACATGACAGTAATATGGTATACCCATTTTTCTCCTTTCCCTAGAAAGTCCCAGGAACAACGAAAAGAAAATAAATTTGTATGAAATATACTACATAATTTAAAACGTAATGGATCTTATTGTAGAATTTTGTATTCTTCCCACGGAGAGTTAGGGATTGACAGTCTTGGGATCAGGTAGAAAATTTAGCTCCTTAAGTTTAGCTCTTCCAGCCAGAAGAATTTTTCAACGAAATAGAGTCCATTTTTAAATAACGTCATTTACAATTATAGCGAAGAGTATGATGCGATTTTATTCGCTTACCTTTCTTCCAACGATGCCTCCGTGATCCTAACATCGTATTTCGTGATTGCAAGATGTGGATGAGCATTTAAAACAATTATGTCACTGGTATCCATCCAAGTGACATTGATCTTAACTCGACCTTTGAATTTGTCATTCCCGATAAAAGGTTTAAGTTCCAGGTGATAGCTGGTCGGCACTACTTCTGTTGGTAATCTGCGTTGGCTTACTTTGGGCACGTAAACGTCGTTCAGGTCTATACTCCGTTTGATCTCCAACTGTAAATGATTTTCAAGCGTAATATTTACTGTGGTATTTTTACTGCCTGAAATACATTATGAAAAATATATATCTTTATCTTTATACCGTCCGGAACAGAAGGGAGGTATCATAATTTGACATGTGCATTTTTGTTTTGTTTATCGTAACAGTCGATCTTTGAGATAAAGAACGACGCTGAAGATAGACGACAGTAATATTATTTTTTAAAGGCATTCTCATTTTATATCCTATCTATCGTTTCTTTTTAAATTTTCATTAGCTGCTACTTCCTTATGCATAGATAACAACTATCTTCTGTATTGAAGTTAACTTGGCTTACTAAATCTTTTGTATCTTTACATATTACAATCATTATTGATTATGATGATTGATATATGATTTACAATTATTTGTATCTTTACAATATCTGATATTTGTGTCTATTAAAAATACGGTATAAGGCATTGCATATTACGTTTGAATATCTTGAGAAATTTCTTACATATTTAAAATATTTCTGAAATATAGAACATTCTACATAAAACAATTGTTTCATAGAACTTGCGAATATTGTAAATTCAATGCATGTGTTTTAGTCTCATCTAGTTTTTTTATTAATATTATTATCCTCTTGATAAAAGTCGAATTTACGAATCTTTGGGAATATTTCATTTTGATAACAATCGTCAGAAGCTCATATAACGCGCTAAGAAAATATTAGTAAATAATTTGAGACATTTGAACACATTATCTGTAAATATCTCAACTGGCTCGCAATTACTCGTAGAAATTAACGTGTTTCACTTCGAAACGTCTATTAGAGAAACACGGAAAGCAACTGCAGCTTTAAAACAAAGCCAACCAACACAAGCATGTACTCGCTAATTATTCACTTATTTTTAACTCTTCGGCTTATTAAAAAGCGAAACTATCTCACCGAAACGCTTTACGATATTTAAAACCGTTTTTCATACGTGCGTATATAAAATCATCTAGAAGAATCGTACTTACATATTTCATAAGGATAAAATAAAATAAGGAGCGATTGCTTACGTGTGCTTCGATATCTGGGAGAACGAAGACCAGGAAATATCCAGCGATGGCTGCTATGAACCTCATGGTTCTCCTGCGGAGTAAGTCGAAACTGATTATTCAGGACGTAACTGAATAAAACTGCTAGTTCACATAAAAATTATTCAACGAAATATTAACCGTTCCAACAATACGACTATACTATCGTTTGATCGTTAATTACGTGCAACTACGAATGTTAAAAACGCCGGAGAGAAATTTTGTTTCAGAGTCTAAGATCTTTCCAAAGACGATTCGCTCCACTGTGTTATCTTTTCATGTTTGGTAGCACGGGATTCGCCGAGACACTTGTATCGATCGTCAACGTATAATCAAACTACACAGTATTATCTTGAGCGGTTTGCGATCACCGATGCTCCACAGCGACTTACTTCGCGATCCTTATCCAACACGTCCGTACTTGCATGCTGTAGGCGACGATCTAACCGATGTAATTCGCGTATTTCGAAGTGTCGTCGCTTACGACCACTTCAATAGCTTCGATCGAAGCTATCGTCGTCGCTTGACCTTGATACCGGCAGCCAATATTCGTATTGAAATGCGAAAGTACCGCGTGCCAACGCAGTCGTTCGCCAACTGCCCTCCAGCTTTCTGCTCTTTCCGACTGTACCAGCTTCTGTCGGATCGCCTGAAAGAAACGAAGAAAAGCGTACAAAAAGAAAAGAAAAGAAAAAATGTTAAACGCGAGCAGAGAAAACGTGAACGACCACGTGATAGGGGTACGCCGCGGCGGATTGGTGTCCGAAGCACGGATTCAAAGCGCTTAGATCCACTTAGCCGCGTAATCGGCGATCGTCCATTATCCAATTCCATCGAACAGACGTCACAAAAGGGCCTAATCGCGGCGGTACCCGTCGGTGACGGATGAGATGCACAGCGTCAATGGCCAATCCCGAAAGCATCAATGGAAATTGAGATGCCACGAAGCTGCTCTGTGAATCTCTGCGAATGTCCTGCCGCTGATTCTGCAACCAGAAACCATTGTGTATTCGTTTAATGCATGAAAAGCCGGCAGCCAATTCAGGTCTCGGCTTGGCGTTCGTTTCCGATTTGGTGTCAATTAGGATTGATAGCAGGTTTTGTGTATGTTTTCTTCGCGCGTTTATAGGCCAGCTAAGGCCACTCGTGCCACTTGTCCACGTGCTTCCTTTAACTTTCAAGCTGCCTCGGAGGAGGCACTTGCCAGAGAGACCTCGGCGTCGGCCTCTTTTCATTCGGCACATCCCATGATCTGGAACAAGATCTTCATTAGTATTGCGATCCACTTTAACTAGCTCGCGTACACATTGTGCAAATGTTGCTCGTGTTCGTGGTATGCGACGTCACAGATAAATTATATCGATAATATGATAGGTATTTACCATTTTGCAAAGTATTCCTAATTCTTAAGATTGTGAGATAAAATGCTTCTGTTAGAAAAACATTCGATTGTCCTTCAAACAGCATGGATCTGAATTTCAAAGATGACGGGATTGTTTTGTGAAGTAACTTATTAGCGTTATTGTTATTAGTCCTTTGATAAAAGACACAGAAAATATATTAAACGAGACTGGAGAAGGACTAATAGAATCGAAAACGATAATGAAGAAGAGTTGGGCAATATAAGACGGGGAGGAACGACAATAAGGAAGCATGGCAAAGAGGCAAGAGCCCAAAAGTTGCCATAATTTTATAGACAGAATATATAATGGAGTGCAATATAATAGAGTGGATAAGAGGGGAGGTGGACGTATAAAAGAAAAGAAAAAGACAAAGAAAAAAGTTTAGATAGATATAAGGGAGGAGGCAATAAGGTGATAACGCCATAAGATTGATAGAATGTAAAAAGCGGGTAAATAAAATAGGTAAAAGAGAAAGGCACGAAGTAAGTAATAATAATAATATTAATCCTTTGATATTTCCATTTTACCTTTTTGTTGGATAAATGTAACACTGTACTCGTAATATTATTGTGTTTATGTTTACTTCTTGTAGTTCTCTCTTCTCCAGAGACTCAGTTACATTTCTCTTTGATTTAGACTTTATTTTTATAAGCACACGTGCATCTTAAGACAGGGGAATTAATGCTAGTAGTCAAGCAGATGATAGAGAAGAGGAAGAAACTCGTATAGGGTTGTATAGGGCAAAGGAAATTCTATTAAAGGGGGGGGGGCGGTAAAGTTAATTCGTACAAAAAAAGCATGTTTTTGTGAATTTTTTCTGACGATACAGTTGAAATTTCTTTTTTAAAAACAATAGTACATTAGAGTATGACATTCGAAGAATATACTATACAATTTTCACAGAGAAATATTAAAAAAATCAGTTCGCTGTGGAGTGCCGAAGCGTGCAGACGTGTCTCTAGTGCCCAGCGTAGTCCGAAAGCAACACGTGTCGCCCAACCGTCGAAAGAGAACACAGCCAAGTGTCCCCTACCCTTTAGGGAGAAGAAAATCCCACGCACCTAACCCCAACCCGAATACAAGACTCACAGCCTCACGACTAGTTATTCATTCCGAACTAACTAGCTCGATGATGGCCCAGCAATCGCGACCAGGCTCTCCGGAGCAGACTCGCAACTACCCCGCGCTACCTCCCCCGTGGCAGAAGTGTAACAGAACTCTCCGCACCAA